AGCCAGTGCAGTAAGACAGTGACTCCAATGAAAACTCCAAGCATCTTGACTCCTCAGTGCTGGAGAGAGAAGAGCAGCACAAGAGCCCTGACCTGGACTGAGGGCCCTGACTGTGTGCAGGAACAGGAAGTGACATCACAGCAAGTGAAAATGGCAATAGCATGCAAAACAAAACCAAGCATAGTTAAACAGGAGGCAACACTGCGTTCTGTTCTATTTGCTAAAATATTTCATCCTGTGACGAGGCACTGCAGGCCTTTGTACCTGAAGACCTCTCTTGAAGTTATCATTTGTTGTTCACTGGTCCTGTTTTGTCTTAACTATGTGGACCCACTGTCTGTCCTTGCTGGTTGTGCCTCCATTTTAAGTCAGGTTACATTTTATTGAGGTTGCTTGCCAAACAAGGGAAGCTGGGGGTGGAGCCAAAGGCATTTAGACCTATCACTGATGGTGGGGAAGGCAGTCTTGTCTGTGTGGGGTTTGTTTTATTATGTTATGGACATTTTTTTATTAAATAGTTTCCCTGCCAGTACTGATAATTTTTTTTCTATGACCCTGTATCCGTCCCCAACTTACTTGCAAGGTGGTTGATTTCACACACCCTCTACCTGTTACACCTTATCACCCTTCCTGACATCAGACATTACAAACCCAAGAGCAAGAGTGTTACAGTCCACAGATATTGGCTTACACACAACGAAATGCACTCTGCTTCATAGTCACAGATGGAGGAATTTGGACAAGGCAGGTATGGGGTTTTTGGAGCTGTCCCATAGGGCACACATCATCTTAGTGGTGTGCTTAGAGTATCACCAGGAGCCAGCCAGAATGGTGCACATGCTCTCAGGGTAGTCCGCCCCAGAGACTGGACTGAGTTCATGCTGTTAGGATGGTCAGCAGGAGGTGTGCCAGGATCCAGGCCACCCTAGGCTTGCCTTCAGGGCAGTCTTCACCAGAGACCAGGCTGAAGTGGACATGTGTTGTCAGGGCAGTTTGGGGCAGGTGCACCAGAGACTGGGCTGAGCTGTGCATGCTGTCAGGGCGGCCTACTCCTGAGGCCAGTCTGATCCAGGCGTGCACTGTCAGGGCAGCCCTATACAGGACAATGAGTGTGCCCACTGAGGGAGGACCAGAACCAGTGCAGAGTCCTGGGGGCAGGTTAGGACATGCAGCATGCAAAGAAACTGGTAGGTTGAGGCAGAGTCCAAAGGGCAGTAAGCAGGCTGAGAGGGAACAGAGCTGGAGTACAGGCTGGACACTGGACTGGAGAGCAGGCTGACAGGGAACGGGGCAGAGTTCAGGCTGGACACTGGACTGGAGTTCAGCCAGATGTGTACAGGAAGGACCACCAGGGCCAGCAGCTGGGCTGAACTCCATAGTGCAGGATTGAGCTGCCAGGACCGTGTCCAGCAACAGCAACACACAATGACTGTGAGTCCGGCGCTGGAGAAGACCCCACCACAGCACACACACCAATGGGAACAGGAGAGCCACTAACACTGTGGGAAAATGCAGTGGACACTGGGGGAACAAAAAATGATTCACATCAAGTGCAGAACAACTCCAGTACAATGTGAGTGCCAGTGGTACAGAAATATGCACTCAGATGGCAGACAGCCGAAGCAGCGAACCCTCAGCCACACACTGCTCTGCCACCAGCAGAGACCCAGCAGCACCAGCAGGGTGGAGCAATGGAGCCGAGCCCAGCAGGGGACGGGGTCCCTGGACTAAATCTGGGCTGGTCAGGATACAAGCAGATGACTGGGAAAAATCGAGGAAGGCAGGGAAACAGGATCAGATGGATTACAAGAAGAAGACAGGAAGGACTCCGCTGGGAAAGGCTGGCTGGTGGTCCAAAGCTTGATTGCTGAAGAGAATCAGGGCTTAATTAATTAGGAGCACCTGATGCAGTGTGACTTGTCATTACCACCAGCTGCTCTGAGCATCATGTCTCCATTGGCAATCAGTGCTGAGCAGGCAGGAGGGTGGAGGAGTGGCCCGGGGCCTCTGGTGCAGCACACACTCTGTGGCTTTGGCACTGGGACACCATGCCATGACACATGACACAGTGCAGCACCACTGTGACCCCAATGAAAACTCTAAGCACCTTGACTCCTCACTGCCCTGACCTGGACTGAGGTCTCTGAGTGGGAGGGAATATAGAAAGTGAGCGAGTGTTCATGGGAAATGATAAGGGCATTAATAATTTTCTCCTTCGTGTGTGAGTCAATTTCTCCCCCTGTAGGTATCTATCTGAATTGCAGTTACAGCATCTAGATCTGAGAATTCTGTATGAGTTGGTATAAAGTATTTACAGCTACACCTGTTCCAGGGATTATAAAAAAAGACTGAAAGATAATTGAAGATGTATTTTCTAGGCTGAAGATATTTATTAATATGTGTTGTGGATCTACACTGTTGTCTCAACCTAACCTAGGAGGACCATACCAGTGCCCTGTTGTGGGTACTAGTGACACTGTGCTGTATTAAGTGTTGCCTCACAGATGA